CTGTTGAATGGGAGAAAATATGTGCAAACTATTCATCTGACAGGGGACTAATATCCAGAGTATACAAGGAACTCAAACAACTCAAGTGGAAAAAATGCAAATAATCCCATTAAAAAGTGGGCAAAAAACATGAATAGACATTTCTCAAAAGAAGACATACAAATGGTATATGAAAAATTGCTCAACATCACTCATCAGAGAAATGCAAATCAAACCACAATGAGATATTATCTTATCCTAGTCATAATGGCTATTATTAAAAAGACAAAAACAACAGATGTTAGTGAGGATGCAGAGAAAAGGAATCTCTTATATATATATTGTTGGTGGGAATGAAAATTAGTATAGCCACTATGAATGACAGTGTAGTGATTTCTCAAAAAACTAAAAATAGAATTATCATTCCATCCAGCAATCCCACCACTGGGTCTACTCAAAGGGAAAGAAATCGATATATCAAAGGGATACCTGCATTCGCATGTTGATTGCAGCACTGTTCACAATAGCAAAGACACGGAAGTAACCTGTGTCAATCAACAGATGAGTGGATAAAGAAAATGTGGTACATATACACAGTGAAATAGTATTCAACCATAAAAAAAGTATGAAATCATGCCATTTGCAGCAACTTGGCAGGTCATTACCTTAAGTGTAATAAGTCAGACACAAAAAGACAAGTATCACATCATCTCACTTATATGTGGGAGCTAAAAAATGTGAACACATGGAGGTAGAGAGTGGAAAAATAGATAACAAAGAATGGAAAGAGTGCAGGTGGGGGGGATGATGAAGAGAAGTGGGTGGAAGGGTGCAAACATACAGTAAGAAGGAATAAATTCAATGTTTGATAGCAGAGTAGAGTGACTATACTTAGCAAAAATGCACTGGGTGATGGATACCCTAATACCCTGACCTGACACTATGCATTAAATACATGTAACAAAATTTCTTTTCTACCCCATAAATTTATACAAATAAATTGGTCCAAATACAAATGTCTCACACCTGTAATCCTAGTTATTCATGAGGCTGAGGCAGGAGGATTGCTTGGGCCCAAGAGTTCAAGACCAGATCGGGCAACATACTGAAACCCCATTTCCAAAAAAGAAAAAAATTATTAAGACTGTGCATTTCAATTTTGACTTCAAATGAATGTTCTAATTATCTTTAGTTACCTGTAGTAACCTAGTTAAATAGGTATCAACAGCTAGCTATAGTATTATCTCATTATTATAACAAAGAATCAGAAGTTCAAGTGGTAAATCATGATTCTTCAGAATCATGCCTTCAAATCTTTTTTCTAATTACTTCTACATAATCCAAATTTACTCGAGACCTGTGTACCACTAGATATGTATACTACAAACTCATTTTAACAAGGAAAGATAAGAATTCGACTTGTTGAGGATTGCTTCCCAGGTTCCAGGCTTCTCTGAGTTATTCTAGTTATCTCTAGTTATCTCCAGTTCAGTAGTTACCTATGCACCCCTGGTTATATAGAACTAACTCATTATGCTAACAAGAAATAAGAAGTTGGTTATAAGAAGGTGGTGTTCACTCTCTGACTGTATTTATTATTGACTTTTTACAAGTGTGTGTTATTGAGCCACAGAGACGTTAAGTGACCTGCTCAATGTCACCCACTTGGAAAATGTCCAGAGCTGGGATTTTAACCTATCCTGAGTACTATCCGTGACACAGAGGATGTTTGCTATCGTACTATATGCTATAATATTATTTTGAAATTAGTAGCTGTAGTTATTGCTATTTAACTAGTACCTATGTTAAAGCAGTTAACTATAGGACTGGTTAACTTCCAGAATTCAACCACTTTTTTTTAGCATCCTCGTTTAAACTTGCTATTCTAGATATCATTATTTATCCCTTGGTTACTAACGATGGAGGTACCACTAGATATTTATGGCACTAATTCGATATTCAAACAAGTGAAGGAAATTTTGAGATGAATGATACTTTTATTTCTGTTTATCTCTAGTTAACTAATTACAAAAGAACACTAATTATAGCATAATAGCAAAGGTTATTGAGCATATCGTCTGTGTCAGGGACAGTACTCGGAGAATGGGTTCAAATCCCAGCACTGGACATTTCCCAAGTGAGTGACTTTGAGCAGGGTACTTAACATCTCCGTTACTCAATAACACCACATGTAAAATGACAATAATAACACATCCTTGTCTACAGGGTTGTTAAGAGGATTAAATGTTACTATAAACAAATCACTTAGATCATTGCCTAGAACACAGTAAGAACCACATAAGTTTGAGCTACCATTAGTACCATCTCAATCTCCACAACAGGCTCCATAAGGTAGGTATTATTATTACTCCATTTTATAGATGAGAAAATTAAAGCACAGGAAAAAAAAACAACTCACCAGGTTAGCTAGCTAGCAAATGACAAGCAATGCCATAATGCAGATGCCAGCAGTCTGGCCCCAGGGTCTCTTCCTTCATAAATCTAGGACATCAAACCCGTCATTTGTGCCTATTTTTACCTGGCTGATGCTCAATTATGTATGTAACATTTGCAAGAAATGAATCAGTGTAACTAAAATTTTAAAGTAAATACCATCTTGATTGGTGCCCCGTGAGGTAACACTCACCAAAGGAGCACAGAAATGACTACTGAAGCTGAGAAAGCACTGAAGCAAGTCATGGAAATCTCAGATGTGAGACACCACATGACTCCAATTCTGACAGCTGTCCTAGCTGGGCTGAGGCACACCATGATTAAAATCATTGTAGTTCTCTCACATAATAACGGATCCCAGGCCAAAATTCATTACAGGCTGTCTGGCCACGTGAAGGGTGAGGTTTGCAGAACCCTACAAGCAGCAGCCTGGGGAGGAGACATCTTGCTTAATGTCAGGGAGAGTCTGTGGGGGTGAAATTCCTTGACAGCTTTTTCAGAGTGAATTGGTCAACAAACCATCTTGTAGCTGGTTTCCTATCTACCCTCTCAGGAACAGGAGACAGGAGAGACTTACCTGTTGGGCACAGCAGGCAAAGTGAGTGGGGTCCAGGGTGCTTTTACAGCTTATGAAAATAGTTTAATTTATTGAATGGGTCTGATGACAATGGAGGTTATGAAGGTAAAAACTGGATAAATAATCACTCTTCAGGAAACCAACTCATTCAAAGGCACAATTCTTATTTTTTTATTTTATGTTTTACAGCTAGGGTCTCAGTCTGTAGTTCAGGCTGGAGTGCAGTGGTGTGATCATAGTGAGGCAGGAGAATAGAGTCTAGAGGCAGGGAATCTAAGGCCGTTTCATGCTGACTTCCTAGAACTAAATTGAAAGGAAAACCCTAACTTTCCAAGCCTAAGTAACAAAAGGACCAACGGCTACACCCTTTGCAAACTCCCACCCTTTCCGTGGGGGCAGAAGGGAAATTGAAAGACTGATTGCAGGCCAAGTCTTCCTTTGCGTAGAAGTACAACTTTGTAACTGCACTTTAGCCTCTGAGTGGTTGCTTTCAGCAACCAGTGAGATGTTTGCATAGGAGTGTGACCATTGTAACTTCACTTCAGCTTCTGATTGCGGGCCACCACTTCATTTACATAAGGCGAACAGCAAATCGCCAATGGAAAACATCTAGGGGGTATTAGGACCTGAGAAGATTCTGTATCAGGGCCCTTGAACGGTTGCTACAGCGGCTCCCACCCTGTGAAGTGTACTTTAGTTTTCACTAAATCTCTGGTTTTGTTGCTTCATTCTTTCCTTGGTTTGTTTGTGCGTTTTGTCCAATTTTTGTTCCAAACACCAAGAACCTGGACTTCCTCACCAGTAACAATAGCTCACTGCAGCCTGGAACGCCTGGGCTCAGGGGATCCTCCCACTTAAGCCTCCTGAGTAGCTTGGACTACAGGCGCGTACCACGAGGTCCGGCTACTTTTATTTTTTATTTTTTTAGTGATGGGTGTCTTGCTAGGTTGCTTAGGCTGGTCTCAAACTCCTGGGCTCAAGCGATCCTCCCGCCTCAGCCTCCCAGGGTAGCTAGGATTACAGGCCGACATCACCTGGCCCAACGGCTCCGGGGCTAGATTGGGTCTCGCTCCTCCGCCCTTCCCCCTGCCCCAGATCAGCAGTAACAGGGCGGCTCAGTGCCTTCCTCCTGGCAGTCACACCGCTGGGAGTGGGAGTGGTCAAGGAAGCCGCAAAATGGAGCAATGGAGCAAGGGTTTCCGACACAGGCCTGCCCGGAAGCCGCACCCTGACCAGGAGCGTGCCCCTGACTTTAGGGCCATGCCCTGGCCGCGAGGGCATGCCAGCAAGGCCTTCCATCACACACACACACATACACACCCCACACACACCACACACGCGCGCGCACACACACACACACACACACCCCGCGACCGGAGGCGACCAGAGCAGCAGCCGGCTCCCCATCGCGTGCAGACGTCGGACCCAAAGTCCACCAGCCCGAACTCAGACCAGGAGCCAGAGGACCCCAGCGCAGATCCCGCGGAGGCATCTGGCTTCATCGACCGCGCTCCCAGCCAAGATCCTGCCACGAAGACACCACCGACCTCCGCCTGGGCTTCCTGTTCCATGAGCTCCAGGAAAGCGACGGTCAGTGCCTGGCTCGGGACCCCGACCTGTGCATTGGTGAATTCTTGGAAAGTAACTTTCCTGGAGAGAGGCGCGTGGACCGGCGCCTCTCTTAGGCGCTCTGTGCCCGGTCAAACACACACACACACTCACTCTCTCTCTCTCTCTCTCTCTCATGTCTATGTCTATGTCTATGTCTATGTCTATGTCTATGTCTATGTCTATGTCTATCTCTATCTCTATCTCTGTCTCTCCTCTCTCTCTCCCCCTCCCTTTCCCTCTCCTCCTTTCCAGATGCAAAGGCTATAGGGACTTCGGTGATTGAAGTGGGAGGAGAGGATAAGAAGAAAATAGGGTCTGAACCCGAGCAGGGAGCAGAAGCAGAAGAAAGTCACGTCTGTGCAGGAGCTCCGCGGACCCCATGTTCGGCGAGAACCAGAAGGGCGGCGGTGGAGACCAGGAGCCCTGGCAGCAGCAGCCTGAGGAGTCCGCCCAGGACTCTTCCTCCTCGGAGCTGCATCCCCAAGATCAGCAGCACCTCTTCTCCCCCAGCGCATTCAGTGGGTTGCGCCTGAAGGAGCTAGACAGCATTTTCCAACGCTCTCAATATCCCGACGTGTTTGCTAGGTAAGCGGCTTGCTCTGGAGGTGCGCAATTCTCCAGGACGCTAGGGCTCTTCCTGGGACGCCTTTGGCTCTGCCCCAGTCTCGCTCCCTCCCCTCCAGAGTCAAAAGCTACATATGGAGCTCAAGGCCACAGGAGTAGGCCACTCTTGAGCTGTGGGGTGGGGGCGATGCCTACTGGGCATTAAGGTATTTTTTCACGCATTATAGAAACGAATCAAGCCAGGCAACTTTGGCCAGACTCCTGCTTTGGAAATGTTTTATTGGAATTGCGATTGACATCAGGGTGAGGAGAGCGAGTCCTACAGAGTTGGATCTTGCCTTTACTGAACATTTTAACAATTTGGTTACTGTGGATTTTTTTCATTGGTCTTGATTTTTAAAATAATGCCTTAACATTTGTTAATCTTCAGGCTGGTTCGGTGGCTCACGCCTGTAATCCTAACACTCTGGGAGGCCGAGGCAAGAGGATCACTTGAGTCCAGGCCTTCAAGACCAGCCTGAGTAATATAATGATACTCTGTCGCTACATAAAAATTTTAAAAATTAGACAGGCATGGTGGCACACACATGTAGTCACAGCTACTCCGTAGGATCACTTGAGCCTATGTGGGTTCGTGGGTTCAGTGAACCATGATTGTGTCACCCCTCCTCCAGCCTGGACAACAGAGCTAGACCCTATCTCTAAAATTAAATAGATAGATGGACCGTTAGATAGACAGAGATATCTTGAATCCTGAGTGTTTTAGCCCTCTCTTAAATTCTGCACACCAAGGACAGCCATCCCTAATGCAATCATGGGGTGAGGTATCACAGAAAAATATGCTGGAGCGGTTGAGAGGATAGACATTTCTAAACCGGTATGAAACGTTCATCAGTGTATTTTATTTCATTCACAATTCTGAAAAAGTCTAAATACTGAACGTTTGTGGTTTTCTGCCCAAGAAAGGAGCTTACAATATTCATGGATGTGAGTGAAGCCAAAGTGGAAGCCAGTAAGCCTGATGAAAGCAATTGGTCAGAGTAGCCACTCTGAAACATGCTTCAGTCCTTGGATAACTTTGTCCTACACATTCTCAAGTTGGCCTATTTTTGTTGCCTTTTCTATGTTTGTGAAGTGAGTTCTGAACTTTAGAGGGTGAAAAATGGGATAAGGAAACCCCAGCTTATAGAAATTACCCATTACCAGAGGGAATATGCTTTCTAATGGAAAAAGAAAACTATACATACCAAACTGCTACTTCTATTTCCTGTACAAAATTAAGAATAAATAAAGATCAATTCCTTCCAACAATGGTATCCTTTAGAGAGTACTTCTGTGCGGAGGTATCTTGGGACTGAGTCTGACTCCAAAGTTTGCAAATTAATGCACCAAAGAGCTAGGATGTGAGAAGTTTCAACTGTATTTAAAATATTTAAACCAAGCTATGTTCTTGGCTCAGTGAGTGAGTTTATAAATATTTGGGCATTGGGTTAAGGGAATAAGTCACACACACAGACAACACACTATATGAGTAATTAATGTATGTTTAGTTTCACTGAGACTGATAGGGAGGAGATAGTTTAAAAGTCCAAGTGCCTGGTGGTCCTAATGTTTTTTCGAAGTGTCTGATGAAGACATGTAGAAAGTGGCTGCCTGAAATTTTAATTTTCTGGAATACTTCGATGTGTCAGCCTGAAAACACTGCTAATATACACACATTACAGTGGGGGTTGGGGGGAGACAGGTTTGCAAACTGGAAATTTGTCTGAAAATTGGAACAAACAAGAACAATTTTGAATAAGGTTCCAGTCACCTAAGAAGGATGAAAAGGTTAAAGAAGAATGGCATACACTTACATATATACCTTGAAGAAATGGCACAAAGTGAACTTTATGAGTGAATATTCTCTTGAGGAATTTCTAACAACTAAGGAATTATTTTGGTGGGACTATCTAAAGAGGTGGGTTTTATGAAATTTGTTTGGTGATGAGGGGCACACTCAATTTAAACCAGATTCTTACCTGTGCTAATTTAAAATACTTTTTCATTTTCACAGGCAGTGATGATTAATTTGTAGGTCATGGGATCAAAAGATTACTAAGATTACTTAAGTTTTATTAAGACAGAATTTTGCAAAATGAAAACAAAATCCAGGATAAGGTTATGAGCCCCGCTCTGCAGTTTGTGTGAGTGCAGTGATGGAAAGGAGCTGCAGAGCTAGTGCGGGTGACTTTTAGTGAATTTTGAACTAGTTTTGCCCAATTTTTCAGACAGAATAGAGACCCATCCATGCTAATAGGAACATTCATGCCCAACTCCGGACTCTAGGGGAAGCTTCCTAAGTGGCTACTCAGTATTTATGGGAAGGCAACAGCTAAGCATTGATTCAACATGCTCCAGATTCTGTCCACTGCCCTCCCTTTTTGTGGGGGACACAGGGGAATAGGAGTCATTCTGGCCCAAAGGTCCTGCTGCTTCAGAAGAATCATGAGAGGAGACTCCACCAAAGCCAGAAGGAGGCTGTTCTCCCTTTTCTTCCCCATCCCCAGACCAGAAGGCATATTATTACACCTTCCCTAACTCAAAATGGACAATCACAACGTCCAATGTATTTTATTGCTCTCTTCATCCTTAAGAGATCTAGAATTCCTGCTAATTAAAAATAGAAAGGGCATATTTGGGGTTATTGGCACTCAGATCAAGGAGATGGTCCCCTGAGCAGTGATCCAGACTCATCATTCACTGGACTAGGCAGTCATTTGTTCATGGTGTCTTCTTACTGTGCAACCACCACAGTAGAAAACAACAAAAAGAAAAATGGGAGGGTGAAGGAAGCCAGGCCCATTTTTCAAGAAACATTAAGTTCTTCTCAATACAGCCTTTGCTTTTGAGCAATCTCTAGCAATGCAAGGCTTCTTGTTTGCTATTAAAAGTGCTTAATTGTGACCATCAAGGCTGTACTATGAAGTGATTGCTAAGATAAGTGCCATGGTTCAATCAGAATTTCCTCTCGCAGGGGTTACATCAAAGTCCAGTTTCACAGCACTTATGTGTTCCCAGTGTAAAGCAAGGCTCTGTTTTCTTAGGAAAGCATGCTTGCTTTTTTTTTTTTTTTCCTGTATTGTCCACTATTTCACTCTGAGACCTTCACAGTTGTGGATATGAAATGTCAGGAAAGCAGTTGCATGTAATGTGGGACTTCTGCACAGAGAGGAGGTTATTGCTACCCAGTGGCCCCAGCACCTGGCTGAATTGGGAAACATCTAGGAATGCACCTGTGTATGCCCACTGCCATCCTCAACAGATAAGTTTGAAACCAACATTTATTTCCCGATGTGGCACCTGTTCTTTTTAAACATCAGCTTCCTCAATGCTATAGGTACCCTCTAAACAGAACTACAGAACCTATAGAAATGAAAGCCACAGGACACCATCAGACCGAGTTCTGACCTCTTCTGTGTCCCAGTTGAGCACATGGTTTTGCCATATTGCGATTGAAAGCCAAAGAAATACTCCACACAAATCCTGCAGTAAACACTAACATTCAATTTGACACACACTAACAGAACATTTTTTTCATGCTCAGGAAAAGAATAGTGAATATCATTTCCCATAACTGATGGAGTCTTCAAGAGACATGTATGTATTTGTTTGTTTTGTTTTTGTTTTTGTTTTTGACTCAGGGTCTCACTCTCTCGTCCAGGCTGGAGTGCAGTGGCCCGATCTCACCTCACTGCGACTTCCACCTCCCAGGCTCAAGGGATCCTCCCACCTCAGCCTCCTCTGTAGCTGGGACTACAGGCATGCACCACCATGCCCAGCTGATTTTTGTACGTTTAGTGGAGCTGGGGTTTCACCATGTTGCCCAGGCTTGTCTCAAACTCCTGGGCTCAGGCGATCCACCCCCTGGGATCGCTTGAATGGAGCCACGGCACCCTGTCGACATATATATTATTTTTAATGCCTCTCTAGTTCTTCCAAGTTCCAGAAGAATTAAGGCATGGGGCAGAGGAAATAGTCAAAAAGAATGCTTTAGATAATAGTTTCCACTCAGTCTAAGTTTCAAAACAAAGAGTTATTTTAAAAGTAATCCCACAAAACCCATGTATGTTAAAACGTACTTCAAATATTTCAACGGCAACAATCAGGCCAGGTGTGATCACCCAGGCCTGTAATCCCGGCACTTTTGGAAACTGAGGTGAGAGGATTGCTTGAGCTCAGGAGTTCAAAACCAGCCCGGGCAACATATTGAGATCTCATTTCTCAAAAGGGATTAAAAAATAAACATATGAAAAGGAAAAAAGGCAAAGATGAGAAATTAACTGTTCTAATACAAGTTTAAAATTTTTATTTATTAAAAAAATTTAACACTGGTTACCAGAAAATAGGTTCACCCAAAATAGACGGTCTTCGTAAATGTTAGTTTCAGCTGAAAAGTTATGAACACAATCTTGGGAGGAGTCCAGGCACTTCTGCATTCTACAGTAATCAAAAACATTGGGGGTTTTGCTTTCTAAAGTTTCTTTTTTGTTGTTGTTTTTGAGACGGAGTCTCACTCTGTCACCCAGGCTGGAGTGCAATGGCTGGATATCCGCACACTGCAGCCCCATTTGAAAAGCTCATCTTCAGTCTGAAGTAACTACATCAATAGGAGCAGGTTGGATTTTTAATCAGGTTTCCTCAAGGATGCCTAAGGGGCCATTCATCCTCTGAAAACTCTTTTTTTTTTTTTTTTTTTTTTGGTCTTTTTTTTTTTGAGACAAGGGTCTTGCTCTGTCACCCAGATTGGAGTGCAGTGGCACAATCTTGGCTCACTGCAACCTCTGCCTCTCAGGTTCAAGCGATCCACCTGTCTCATGCTACCTAGTAGCTGGGACTACCCTGGTGCGCTACCAAGTTCAGGTAATTTTTTTATTTTCACCATGGAGTTTCACCATGTTGGCCAGGCTGGTCTCGAACTCCTGACAGCACGTGATCTGCCCACCTTGGCCTCCCAAATTGCTGGGATTACAGGCGTGAGCCACTGGGCTGGCCTTCATCCTCTGAAAACTCTTGGGAGTGAAAAAGATGGTCTGAAAAAAAAGGCTTGGTCATGGCGGGGTGGGGGCATCATTGCATTCACGCGAACTGCACAGCACAGCTCATAACCTCATCCTGGATTTTCTTTTTGTTTTGAAAATATACTCGGTCAATAATACTTAAGTAATCTTAGCAATTTCTTCATCTCATGACCTACAAATTAATCATCACTGCCTGGGAAATTGAAAAAGCATTTCAAATTAGCACAGGTAAGAACCTGGTCTAAATTGAGCGTACCCCACCCCACCACCAAACAAATTACATGAAACCCACCAGTTTAAAACAGTAACATAAAAAAAAAAAAATCATTAGTTGTCAGAAATTCCTAAAGAGAATATTCCCTCATAGAGCTCCATTTGTGCCATATCTTCAAGGTATATATTTGAGTGTATGCAATTTTTCTTTAACCTTTTCACCCTTCTTAGGTGAGTGAAAACTTATTCAATAATTGTTCTTTTTTATTCCAATTTTTAAACAAATATCCAGTTTGCAAACCTGCCCCCTCCCCACACCCCCACTGTAATGCCAGTATATTAGCAGTGTATTCAGGCTTACAAATCAAAGTATTCGAGAAAATCAAAATTTCGGGCTGCCACTTTCTACATGGCTTCATCAGACCCTTAAAAACAACAGCAGGACCACCAGGCACTTGGACTTTTAAGCTATGTCTTCCCCATCAGTCTCAGTGAAACTAAACATACATTAATTACTCATATAATGTGTTCTTTCTGTGTGTAACTTATTCCCTCACTCCAATGCCTGAATATTTATAAATTCGGTCATTTAGCTAAGAACATAGCCTGGTTTAAATATTTTAAATATAGTTGAACCTTCTCACAATATAGCTCCTTGGTGCATTAATTTGCCAACTCCTCAAGTCAGACTCAGTCCCAACATAACTCTACACAGAAGTGTTCTCTAAAGGATACCATTGTTAGAAGGAATGGAACTTTATTTATACTTAATCTTGTACAGGAAATAGTAACAGTTTAGTTCTGTTTCGTTTTCTTTTTCCATTAGAAAGCA